CATAATATGTTATCAGAAATCAAAAAAGCCATAGATGTATCATAACTGTGATGCTGCTCTAAGCTCTATATGAATTTTGCAACTTGGGTGTGTCAATAAAGAATTAAGTTCCTGTGTTCTCATTGCTTCTCAACCTGTGTTAAAGAGTCTGTTTACTGAGAATGTTCCTCAAAATTTTAACTGTCACCTCAATCTTCATATACACTGTTGCCTCTGGTGAGTTTTGGCCTTCTTTATATGCTTTTGCCATGAATATTACATCTAGATATACTTAGTGTAGTGTATCTGTAATATCTATATATATTCATCACCACTTCCATTCATTTGAAATATCTAAAATTTATAGTTTTTCAGATACTGACAAAAATATATCTATATATTTTTAGCTTTTACTACCAGTTGCTAACTGGCTACTGTAGTTCTCTGTTTACAGTCCAGCACTGGGAATATGTAATCACCCCTGCTGTAAGACCACCATTTCCCAGGACTAGAGAGCAGTCGAAGGGAGACTACTGATCAATGCTATAGATTGTGCAGTTATATCAATTGGACATAAATATTGTCCTGATTCACTGTAATTAGTGATGCACCAATACATGTTTTTCAAAACCGATATTTAGCTGTTTATTTTGAGCAAGTTGCATTAACATAGCCAATACCAATATTGTTCTTTAAAAACAGTATTTAGCATTTTTGCTTTCTCTGTACTCAAACTGCTTTTTCATGTCATTTTGTTGGCATGTTTATTATTTATTATAAGTTATTATCAGTTCTTATATTGGTAACTCCTTATGGCTATACCGATATCAATCGATTTTGAACTAATACCAATATTTGCATTTGGTATCGATGCATCACTAGTAGTACTACATCTACATTAGATACTATATTATAATATACTGTAATCTATAATATTATCGGCATCTATGGCCAAACAAGGCCTGCTATATGTAAATTCAAACTGTACTTGGCCCTGTTACAAAAGCTAGTGTGAACATAGTGTTGTAAACATAGTGTTGTAGTTACACATGTATTAAAACACAGCAGAAGGAAAGTAGCAATAGCCATATAATGACAATCATAGTAATAGTAACAAAAACTAATTATCATAGTAACGAACAATAATAACGACACATGCAAATGCAAATTAATTTTTATGAGAGCTTGAAAAATTATTTTCTTTTGCAAATTTTTCATGCTGTACATAGCTATAATTATCATGTGAAAGAAATGGTGAAGAATATGTGTAGTTTGTATTGTACGTTAAGAGTATTAATTGTGATCGTTTTTACTGCATAGCAGATAATATTTATGGTTTATAGATTTAAGTGTTTGAATATTTGCTATTTTTAGATGAAGGAGATCAGCTATGGGATGTTAAGTTGGATCCACTACAGTTATATCATCACAATGAAAGCTGGATAACAATTTGTTATGATGGTATAAGCATCAATGTAGCTCATGTTGCGTGTCGACAAAAAGGATTCATTAATGCTACTACTTTCAAAATAAGTGACTCGTAAGTTACTTCACTATTCTATTCCAAATAATGGCACATATCTTGTCTTAGTCCAGTGGTGTCTGATTGTGTAATCACTCAAGTTTTATGTCCATCAACTTCAAATTACTCTATATATGGTGAAACCAATATTATGCGGTGTAACATCTCTGATCCTGTTCCAAAGAAAAAAACATGTAGATCTGCAAAAATTATTTGCAGTAAGTTCTCATGAGAATGAGTAGTGGTAAGTTTTTATGTACATGCTATAATCCTAATGGCTAAAAGTGTGGCAAGGGAAATTTTTGAACCTTCCTTGATGTTGAAGTACTCATTATGTAATTATAATATCCTGTGGCATCTTATTATTGAGCCACAATCATAGTTTAGTTGGATGTTAAAATGTTTACATTGTAAGTGCATTTCTTAATAGTTACAGTTACCTGTATGTGTATAATACTATAGATACTAAGCATACTCTAGTAAAAACTAATCCTTACAAAGGTCAAGTTCATCTTGTTGACAGTAATACTGCTACACCAGCTGATGGTACAGTTGAAGTACATTTTGGCAATGAGTGGTATCATGTGTGTAACAATGCAGCCTTCACTAATACAGTAGCTGATTCAATATGTAGACAGTATGGATACACAGGACATGATACTTGGGCTACAGAAACTCCATCGTAAGTTCACAAATGTTATAGTAATGTTGTACAGTGTCACTCATTTGACTCATTTTAATAGTGTCAAGTCATTGAAGAGTATTAACGCCACAGAATACACTTGTACTAGTGAAACTGGTTCTTTTGAATGTTTTACCCACTGTATGATACCAAGCAAGTATAAGATTATTGGCAGCTGTGATGAGCATGTGAGATTAACATGTAGTAAGTATAAAATTCTCACTGTTATGCTTAAACTATGTTATAAACCTGTGAGTGTACAACAAAAAAGAATTTGACAGTTTGATAGCACATTCACTATTTTTCCAATCCTTAAAGATAGGCATAATTCCCTTAATTTTACATGACAACTACAGTATAGCCAGTAGCATTATGTGTATAGTACATGCATGTGTTGACAAAAAGTCTTTATTAATTAAACTAAGGATAATAATTTCAGTTTGACAAAATTTTTTACAGTAAGTAGGCCAGCCTCCCTTTCTGCTAACAATTTTAAATTTTTTTCACATGTTTGATATATTGCTGGAATGCTCACAAATTCTTGAGCTAGTGAATTTTATGTAGGTACATATAAAATGGTTGATTTGATAATGTGTATTGGCTAGCTGTACATAATATGGGGGCAATTGTTAATTTTTGGTAATTGATGGGTTTTAATTTGGCAAATTTGTAGCCTTAATTATACCATTGAGCATGTCCATAATAGCTCATTAATTTTTTTTATTTTGGCTAATGATGACTCTAAATTTCCCCTCAGCTATCAAATATTACAGTTAATACATACATTTACGTAGAGTTTAATATCACTAAGAAGTATTTGACAAGTGGATCTCGAAGCCAATGTGCTTTGGATGAGGACAGTCATCGTGGTAAAAATGAAATGATATCAATTTTTTAATCATATGTATTTCTATTCTATTTTTGTAGACATAATTATTATAGGAGTACTCAGTTCTCTGCTTTTTATTAGTCTCCTAGCGTTATTTATCATAAGCCTTCTATTCTGTTGTAAAAAAATTAAAAAGATGAAACACCATGGTGGCCGCTCCAGAAAAATTCAATCTAACAAAATAGTTGGGGATGATTTTCAACTAAATGATCGAAAACCACTGAAAGACTACTACCAAAGTACTGAACATTAGCGAAATATCTTAATCTGTTACGGTATATTCTTTCAGTGCTATAAAAAGATATGTCCTATTGTACACTTTTTGTATCATCAGTATGCTTAAAAAATTAGTAGAATTATAAAAAAGTTAAAGGCAAGTAGTACTAACATGACTAACGTAACCTTACGCAAGCATAATACGGTAAATCCCGAATCCCTGCTATTTTATAATTAATAATTATTATGCATAATGGGGCATGGCTTATGACGTCATGTAATAGGCGGGTATGGTTCAGCTGATTAATATTCGAGTATGGTAAATAAGAGAAAGGGAGCTGATTCTAAGAAGCCCAAGGCAGAAAGCAAACCAGGAAAGATACGAAAAAGTACTTAAGAGTGTATACTGCGATATATAGTTTTGATTATTAATAGATAAACCTACTAAAACTAATAAGGAAAGACTACTCACTGCTTTATGTCTCACAAAACGTGTCAACAATTCAAGGTCACCTTCTTTGCATAATGAGGTATTTTGTAACTTGACTTTTTATTAGTATTTTATTATCAAGCAGAAAGAAAAATCAGCTTGTATCCCATCATCTTCGCCAGAACAGGCTCGTGCTATTGCTGAAACAACATTTGAGGAATCATTTATTATCACTGATGTATCCGGCATTAAGCACCTATCCGCTCTTAACCATTCCGTTGCCACTAGTAGTCCTAAAACTGTATGTAGACGTAGGGTTGATGACCTTTTTCGATT